TCACACTCTTGCAATTTTCTAATCAATGTTTCTAAACTCTAAATGCTCTAAAAGAACACAGAATGTCATGATTTCCCTCTCTCTGATTCCGCTGCTCTCAGCCACTTGCAAGCGCTCTCGGCCACACCCACTTCTCCACTTTGCACACAGATCAGCTGTTCAGCTGCAGGAGGAAGCGTATCCTGCAGTGTGGGCTGCACAGAGGCGCAGGAGGAAGCTGTTTCTGCAGCTCTGGGCTGCACAAAGGAGAAAAGGTGCTTAATACTGTAATTTAAAATAATTTATTTTAAATAAAAATTCCATGCTGATCGTGCGGCTCATCCATAAATCAGCCAACTGTGTGTCATGTCCAATCTTATTTTGAAAAACCGTGATAGGGCGGATCCATGATAAACAAACTGTGAAGAAGCGAGGGACTACTGTAATAAGTAATAAACATATTCAGATTTCTCTTGTAAATGAGTTCCTGAGGCTCAGTGGGATTAATCTGTATAAATAAAGGTTGAATGAAAATAAAGGTGTACTAAACATGTAACAAATTTGTAACAAACATGTAATAAATCAGTATTAAACATGTAATTAATGTGTATTATACATGTAATAAATTTGAAATAAACATGTAATAAGCTAGTATTAAACATGTAATATATGTGTACTAAACATGTAATAAGTTTGTAATAAACATGTAATAAACATATAAGTATGTGTAATATGTGTGTACTAAATGTGTAATAAGTTTGTAATAAACATGTAATAAGGCAGTATTAAACATGTAATAAATGTGTACTAAACACGCAATAAGATTGTAATAAACGTAATGTCAGCATAAAATGTGTAATATGAATTAAGTTAGTAATAAATGTAATATGGTTGTAATACCTTCATAATAAGTCTATAACAAACATGAATTAAGTCTGTAATAAACATGTGCTAAACATGTTCCACATGCTCACCCAGCACAAACACCTCCACCCCTTGGCTCCTCAGCTGCTCAGCAGAATGTTCCACTGGATCCTCAGAAGGCCCATCTGTGATGATCACCAGAACTTTGGGGAAGCCTTTCCTGGCACCGCCGGCCTCGGTGAAGGTTTTTGTCAGGAGGTGGTTGAGGGCTTGACCTGGACCAATCAGAACCTTGTTTCACTCCACAGGAAATAAACTTGTGATTTCAGCAGCAAAACGTTTTTAATTTGTGTTGACGTGTTGAAGGACAGGCAGCACGGTGGCACAACTGGTAGAGCTGCTGCCTCTCAGCGAGAAGGTTGCCGGGTCAAATCCTGGTCCGGGGGCCTTCCTGGGTGGAGTTTGCATGTTCTCTCCGTGCGTGCGTGAGTTTTCTCCGGATACTCCGGTTTCCTCCCACAGACCAAAAACATGCATGTTAGGCTGATGGTAACTCTAAATTGTCCCGAGGTGAGTGAGAGAGTGAATGGTTGTTTGTCTCTGTGTGTCCCTGTGATGGACTGGAGACCTGTCCAGGGTGTCCCCGCCCCTCACACAGTGACTGCTGGACATGGACACCGGTGACCCCCATGACCCAAAATGGAAGAAGCGGGTAAAAGATAAAGGATGGATGGATGGATGGATGGATGGATGGATGGATGGATGGATGGA